TGTATTTACAACAAAAGCAAAGGGTGGAGCTGTTTGGGTGAAATAAATTTCCAGACTGTGACAAAACAGAGATTTCTGATTCATCATAGAATCACCTTGATTGAGATCAGAATACCCCCAGCCACCCCATATAACACCTTTCCTACTCCCTGAAAGCAGGGATAAGGTTTGCCTTGTTCCCCACTGCCTGACTTACAGAGTAGCTTCTCAATAAATATTTGTTGGCTGGGCGTGGTGGCTCACACCTGTAATCCCAGCACTTTGAGAGGCCAAGCCAGGCTTAGGAGTTCGAGGCCGGCCTGGGCAACATAGGGAAATTCCATCTCTACTAAAAATACAAAAATAGTTGGGTGTGGTGGAGCACACCTGTGATCTCAGCTACTCAGGAGGCTGAGGTGGGAGGATCGCTTGAGCCCGGAGGTCAATGCTGCAGTTAGCTGAGATCATGCTACTGCACTCCAGCCTGGGTGACAGAGTGAGACCCTGTCTCAATCTATCTATCTATCTATCTATCTATCTATCTATCTATCTATCTATCTAAATATTTGTTAAATCAGTTAATTCTTTGGGCAGGGTAAACTTAAACATCAACAACTTCTCATTCTTCTCCTCTCCCTTTCTAGATTCTAGGCAAACTGATTCCCTTCTCTTTTGAGCAGGACAATATTCGCTGTGTCACAGCTTTTTGTCTATTAGTTGTGTTGTGTTCTCCTGGATGGAAACACCCTGAGGAATTGTGGGAAGTGCCCTGTTCTCATCATTATTATGTTAAAAATATTCCAGCATGCCCCTTATTTGTACATGCTGCAAACCTTAACAATGATTATTACCCCAGTGGCTCAGGGTTGGTCTCCCTCTACAACCTGGGGCACTCTGTGGTCCATGCCCCTCTGGACAGAGGTCAATAGCACATCTTTCTCCGGATATGTGTGTGTGTGTGTGTGTGTGTGTCTATGTGGGTTTTTTTTTTTTGGTGGGGGGTGCATTACATTTAACATTGCCTCAGTGTCAGCTTTCAGCTCCTCAAAAAACTCCATGAACTATGCCTTCATATTTCCCCCTGGACTTAGGTTGATTCATCTCAAAGGACAAATCCATCTCTGAGCAATTCTCAAGGCAAAGACACTCAGCCAGACGTAAAGGAGGGTGAGCCCACCTACCTCTTTCGGCTGACACTCAAGGGAGCTTGCCATTATCTGGGCTGGCTGCCCACAGGCCATTTGACAGGTGCTGGGTTAGACATGTGGGAAGGAAACAGCCACCTTGTTTTCCTGCCTTGGATGGAATTGGCAAAATTCCAACTGTTCCCTACCGGAGCTCCAGCTCACAGCTCTTGGATAAAATGTCTAATCACGGAGCTGTATCTCTTGCCCAGCAAATGAGAATCCTGAGACTCATCAAATAACTGTCCCGTCCACTTGGCCTTAAAAGTGTCCAGCACCCTCCATCAGTTGATTCTCTGCAATAAAATGTGCACACCGGGTATTTCCCTGAGAGGTTTTAGAGCGCCAAGGGGCAAGGCTTCCTGAAAGAGCCCTCAGGATCTGATTCAGATTCAGCAAATGAATTTCACCAGGGTAATCCTGAGTAGTTGAGTTCTCTCTCCCCCCTTCCTCCTCCTTCTCCTCCTCCTCCTCCTCCTCCTCCCTCGCCATATCTCCACAAGTTGTAACCTGGCATGCCTGCTCTCCGAAGCCAGAAATATGACAAATATTCAGATAAGCCGATGGAATTTAAAAGTGCAGGTTTATTGCTTTGCTAATGAGAACTGCAGAGCACACTTCAGAATGTGAGGTGTGCCTCTCTCAGCTTTGCTTGTAGCACAAATTCCGCACCTAGCAACGCACCAAGAACTCAGGAAATGCTTAATAACTGTTTGCAGATTGAATTAATGCATCTTATTTTAATGTATTATGACAATTTCATTCTTAAAAGGATATGGGGAGCATTTAATGTAAAAGTGTTTTTGTATTGTTAGAAAATTTTGTTTTTATGTTTAAGGGGCTTAAAGTGAGGTCAACCTTTAATTTCAAGTTCAACAACCTCTTTTTTTTTTTTTTTTTTTTTGAGATGGAGTTTCGCTCTTGTTACCCAATGGCGCGATCTTGGCTCACTGCAACCTTCGTCTCCTGGGTTCAGGCAATTCTCCTGCCTCAGCTTCCTGAGTCGCTGGGACTACAGGCGCGCACCACCATGCCCAGCTAATTTTTTGTATTTTTAGTAGAGATGGGGATTTCACCATGTTGACCAGGATGGTCTCGATCTCCTGACCTCATGATCCACCCGCCTCGGCCTCCCAAAGTGCTGGAATTACAGGCGTGAGCCACCACGCCCGGCCTCTTTTTTTTTTTTTTTAATAGCAGAGTACTGTAGTAAAAATAGCTTGAGGTTTGAAGTTAGACCTATTTTTCAAACCCAGTTCTGGTATACTCCAAGGTAAGAGTGTGTAATTTACAAGTGTTTTGAGGATGGAAGGAAGTAGCCAGGGGCATTCCTAGCAGGTGGTGGGTGATGGGAATGGGAGAAAGGTGGTGTCCTTATTTTCTTGGCCTGAGGCCACTGTCATGCCAAGGCTTGGGGTCCTTCTAATTCTACTGTGTAGAGTCACTAGCGTGCTGCTCGTTTTACAGAAGCCACAGAAAGGAAGGCGTTTCGTCCCATCAGCCATGTCCAGACGTAGCCTTCTCATGCCCGGACACATTTTTTAAATTGTGCTTTTCTATATTCAATGCTATTCTGGATCTTATACACCAGTGCAACGCAGAGGCCTCCCTCGCAAAGCCTCTAACAGACCTAATCTTTATTATGTGCCTTCAGCGCAACAAAAACTCTGAACAACTCATGAGGATTTCAGGGCCTCCTAACTGGCAAGCGTTTCGGGGGAAATCACAGGGAAATTTGTTGGCCGCATGATTAATCCTGGGTGTATTGGTCCCGGAAAAGCGCGTATGGGTTAGCAGCAAGCAGCGGCTTGCAGAATCTCACAAAATAAACCGTCTAACGAACAGGCCCCAAAAAACCATGCCTTCCAGATGGAAGTTCAGCATGAGGGTGGGGCCTAACAATGGAAGAAAACGCCAGATGTGTGGACAACAGACCTCCTTTGAATCCACACTAACACCCCAAGAGATGACACAGGGGACCAGATTATAAAACTCAACCAGATTACAACCCTGGAGGAGGGAGCCCAGTAGGGCGTAGGATCTTAAGAAAAGGATCATAAAATTCATCACCATAATTACCCCCCAGCCCAGCTCCCCAACACAAGCCAACAATAGCTTCGCTGGCGAAGTTATTCATCCATATTCAAGTTGCCTTGCTCATTATTCTCAGACAAAAAGGCTGTTGGGCCTCTGTTCCTCTGGCAGCCAGGCAACTCAGCACCCACCCTCACTCAGCCAGCCCCCGACTACAAACCACTGCTTTCTTTAGTAGTGGAGTTTCCAGTACCAACGATGGTTTTTTGGTTTTACTGTCATCTTTTAGGACTACCTTTGACAGTCAGAAGCTGGCTGAAGATAATCACAGCTAAAGCTTCCCTGCGTGAATACAAAGGATGTTACCAGCAGCTGTTTCTTCCGCAAGGCTGGGATGCTGAAGTGAGGGCCCTCCCTCACATTGCCCTGACAAACACAAAAGGGTGTCATTTGCACGTCGTCTCGCCAAATAGGAAATGTAAGTGAAAACACAGAACTGTACATATTCCAGTGGGAAGAGAAGTTCCAAAGATGGGACTGCCACGAATAATCCGTGGCTCAGTCCCTTTGAAGCAGTCAGCCCAGCACTGAGCAGTACACTCTATCATTTCCCTAAGACTGGGTATTTTTTTCTGTGTGGACATTTGTAGGAGCCCAGATTAGGCGCAACCCTCCTGCAAACCACTCCCTCTCCAAGAAGTATTCTTCTGGGCCTAGGCCTACCTCGATCCTCAATTTGGAAAATGTTTACTTTTCACATCACAGCTCAGCAACCTCCAGCCCCAAAGATCACAAGTTAGCTTACAATTCCTTCAACAAACGTTTAGTGAGCAACTACTACATGCCAGGCATGGTTTTGGCCTGGGAGAAATCAAGGCTAGATGTAGCTGCGTCCTCCAGAGCATATGTTCTATTGAGGAAACATAAAAATAAAAACTCAAGAAACAAAACGTTGACAGATGTCAGCGGAGACCACCAACACAGCAACCCAGCAGAAAGAGGGAAGGCTCCAGCAGAGGCAAAGGGGAATGGAAGATGTGGATGCCCCCACCCCCACATGGGAGCCATTACGTTTAAAACCTAAGGAGTCGCCAACAGGCATTGGGTCACTGATGCTGTGGCTTAAGATGAACACGTGGCTCAAACCCACTTAAGCCTCAATGTTCATAAGGCGCAACCATCCTCAGGCACTCCACACTCCTTGGAAGCCTCCACTTGGACCTTTTCCACCCACACTATCCTCTAAAGAGGGTAAAGGAGGCCTCTTCCAGTCCACTGATGGGGTGCTGAGTGCGTCCAACAGGCAGGGCGCCAGACTACGTAGTCCCAAGGGAGACCAGGGCCACCGCAGAGAGGGGAATCCTCCTCTTGGCCCCAGTCCTCCTGAAAGTCCCGATTCTATGGGGGCGAGCTTCTCCCGAGGCGTGCGCATGCCTCCAACACACCGCCCTATCGGAAGGAAACCCCAGTCCCTGCTGCCAGTGAGTGGGGCAGCCTACTGTGAACCACCCGAAATCTCTGGCGCGGCCGACTCGGAGGGAGGCCCCCTCTGCTGCCCACCTTGCAGCCTGTGGATTCCGGGGGCTCCTCCCGGCACACCCGCGCAGCTGCGTCTTTGGGACCTGGCACCGGCTGAGCCGCTGCCTCTCCTCCTCCGGCGCTGAGCCGCCTGGCACACACACACCCTCAGCTCCCCCGCGCTCTCCTGAACAACCTCGAATGCCAGGCCCGGGCATTCCAGCAAGTCTCTGCTCGCTCGTCCCCACCAGCGACCGCGGGAAGCCACTTGGCGCTGGGTCTTACCTCCTTCTGCCAGGACCCAGAGCGACGCGCTCCCCAAAACGAAGAGTAGAGCTGACACCTTCCACATCGTTCCCGACGAGTTGCTCTCCTGGGGGCCGAGCAGCGAGTTTCTGCGATGGGGGATTCAAAAGCTTCGCGGCCACAGGCCCAGCCTGGAGGAGCGCGACGGTGGGGGTCGGAGGGGTGGGAGCGGCAGCCCTGGCGCAGGAGGGTGCCCGAGCTTCCCCGGCCCCAGACAGCCGGACGGCAAACTTTGCTGTAGAGAACTTTCCAAGCGGAGTCAGCATTTATCTCTCGCGAGGAGGCGGGGGCAGAGGGGTCGGCCGCAAGGTGGTCTCAGTCCCGGCGCGCTAGGCCCGCCCTCGGGCTCTGTTTGGCCAGCGCCAAAACGATGATCTCAGGCCAGGTTTAAAGTTACAGGGCCGCAGCTGCGGGGCCGCCAGTAGTGCGGGCCCTGGCAAAATGGGCTTTTATTCTGTTCAACAACAGGAGGGAAAGGGACCACATGCAACAAGCGGGTTTTAAAAAAACAATAAACGGGGTTTTAAAACCCTATATTTATTATTCTTTTTTGTTGTTGTTAAGAGGAAGCTACGAGTCTGTTTTTCTTGTTATGGGCAGAGGTGAGAAGTGAACTGTTCCTTGAGTGGCTGGTAGTTTTAGAACCAAGCATCGGGTTGTTCCTGTAAATATTGAATTTGATGGCTTAAAAAAAAAAAAAAGTTGGCCGTCATCTGGGTGGGCCGGAGGCGGCGCGCGCTGGTCAATTGCGCCCTTGTCCCGGGGACCAGAGCGGGCGGGCACCGGGGGGCTGCCCCAGAGCTGGCTGCTGGGGCGGGGCGGTGGTTGGCAGAGTGGGTAGCTTTGGCAGTTTTGAAGAGGCTGAACTCCATCCGCCTCTCCAGACCCGGGGATCCAGCGCTGCGATGCTGGGGCCCACCGGCGTGCTCAGTCGGATTAGGCTGGGCCAAGCGGTGACCCATCTGGTCGCCAAACGTGTGTCCCTTCCAGGCCGGGCTCACCCTCTTTATTCCTAAATTTGCCCCCATAATCCTCACTTTGCCTTCATCTCAGGTACCAGACATCAGCAACCGGAGAACTTAACTTTTTTACTTTTAATTCCTTCTGAATTGCTGGTATTAAAAAAAAAAAAATTAAGACCAGGAGTTTGGGATGGCCTCTGCTCCACTCCTAGATGCCACAAATTCCATTCAACAAAAGAACCTGAAGACTCAAGCTGTTTCCGGGCTCCACATTGGGTGAAAATTGTTTGCAGATCCTTATCTTGACCCCTCCCCGTTACACATTTACTTCTAAGCATCACCTGGGAGGCTGTATTAAATGCTCAGATTCCTGAGTTCTATCCCAAACTCATCAATCAGGCCTTTTGGGAATTCCTATTTTAAACCAGTGTCGCAGGAGAACTCGTCCCCTGGAACGATTGGTAAACTCTGCTCTTCATCACAGCTTCTAAGCAGGATCTACCTGGGGCGTTGGTCATTGTGCAGGTGCCAGGCTGTCGGGAGGTAAGGGGAGATTCTGCATTTCTAAAGATCTCTCAGGTACTGTCTTGTCCTGGGGCTACAAACAGGAGCTGAGCACCTGAACTAAGACAATGAGGGGCGGGGGCAGCACCCTTAGAGCCAAGGGGGTGGAAATGTGAAGAGAAAACTAGTGATACAGACACTTTTTCCTGAACCGACTTCCCCATCTTGGAGATGTATTTTATGACTCCCAGGTCAATAACGTCTGTTGACAGGATGAATTGTGCATTGTCCGTTGAGCCTGTTAGATGGAGAATAGATGCAAATCTATTGTGCGTGTAACTCCAAGGTCACACACGGGAAAAAAAAGAGGGATTGCTTTATTTAAAAGATTGAAACAAAATGAAGCCTGGGTGGGGGAGATTGGGTTACAAGCAACTAATTTAGAGGGATGCTGAGACTAGGTCAGGATTCAAGGAGACCTGCCTCCTATCCCGCCCCGCTATGTGTCTAGAATCTAGAAAGCTGATCACATGACTTTCTGATCAGGGTGGAGGCATGGGAGGTAATAAGGAGTTGTATTCAGCTGGGGGCCTTGGGGTGGGGAGAGGGCCAGGATGGGGGAGTTTGTGGATCGGCTCTGGGTGCTGCTGGTCTGAAAATCTAGGGAAAGGGGCTGAGTCTTGGGAGGGGGAAGCTGAAGACCAGAGGGAAGACAGAACTCACCCTCCTCGATATCAGATAGAGCCAGCAGGTCAGGAGAGAAGGGGTGTGGGCCTTGGGCAGCAAGACTCCGTTAGCTAAGGGAGCTGAAGTGAAGTGCAGGAGATTTGGAAGCATGAGATCCCGCCAAGCCAAAGGAAGAGGGAAAGAGGGTGTGTGCCTCCACTCTTACCAAACAGCCTAGGCTCTGAAAGCTGTGACCATGAATCATGATGATGCATTACTGGTGAGACAACAGCAACTGCCACATACTGACCTTTACCTTCCTTCCAGGAACACGCACTATCTCCTTTCAGCCCCAAAGCAACCCTTGGGTTCCGAACACTGGTGAGCGCATTTTACACACAAGTGAGGTTTAGAGTGGATTCACCTGAAGGGCTTGCTGGCCTGAAAGGCAAGCTTGCTGGGCTCCACTGCTGAAGTTCTGATTCAATAGGTAAGGGGTGGGGCCCAAGAATTTGCATTTCCAACAAGTTCCCAGATAATGCTGAAGCTACTGGTCCTGAGTCCCCACTTTGAGGACTGTGGGTTTAGAGGCCACCATGCAAATTGTCTGGGATCCTACAAGGTATGAGCTGTGGGGTCATGCATTTCTATTGCAGAACAGGACTTGAGCCTGTTACTAGTGTTGTGCCTGTACCTTGCAGGACTGGGTGGGAAATGTCCGCACATTGCTCTTAGGAAGCAAGAGGACACCCAGGTGGGGGATCGGTAGTGGAATGAGGAGCCGAGCCAGAGCTGCCAGTTTGGAACCTTCCACCCTGAGGGATGCTGGAGACAACATGCCAGGGTCTCCTCAAACTCTCTGTGACTCCTGAGGCCTCAGCATAGTCCAGAGAGCACCTGGCTGAGCTGCTCCAGGTTCCCTGGGCTGACCTTGCTGGGAAGATACTTCTCCACACGCAATAGGACACCCCCTCAACCCACAGTGGTTCACGCCTGTAATCCCAGTGCTTTGAGAGGCAGAGACAAGAGGATCACTTGAGGCAAGGAGTTTGAGAGCAGCCCGGGCAACATAGCAAGACCCTGCTTCTGTAAAAAATAAAAAGAACATTCACCAGGCATGGTGACACATACCTGCGATCCCAGCTACTCAGGGTACGAGTTGGGAAGATCACTTGAGCCCAGGAGGTCAAAGCTGCAATAAGCCATGATTGTGCCACTATACTCCCACTGGGGTAACAAAGCAACACCCTTACTCTATAATATTAATAATAATAATAATAATAACTTTAAAAATCAACCTCACACAGCCAAGCGCGGTGGCTCACACTTACAATCTCAGCACTTTGGGAGGCAGAGGCAGGCAGATCACAAGGTCAGGAGTTTGAGACCAGCCTATCCAATATGTAAAACTAAAAAATACACTAAAAAATCAAAATTAGCCAGGTGTGGTAGCACATGCCTATAGTCCCAGCTATTTGGGAAGCTGAGGTAAGAAAATCACTTGAACCCAGGAGGCAGAGGTTGCAGTGAGCTGAGGTCATGTCACTGCACTCCAGCCTGGACAACAGATTGAGACTCCATCTAAAAAAAAAAAAAGTCAACACACAATGTCCAGAGCTGAGATATCCCCAACTGAGTGTCTGATCGAAAAGGCAGCTGTAGGGCCCAGGAATAAGTAACACACTTAAGGGTTTGAGTGGTACCAAAATTCAAAATTCTGATTTATAACCCAGACCACTACAACTCTGACTGGACAGAGGACCGGCCCTACCAACATTCTCTCCTGATAAGATACTACACACCTTAAGCCAGTTTCAGCCACTAACAGTCTGCATACAAACTGTCTTTGTGTCCTATAGTTCACATTCTGACGTAAAGAACCAAATGCCACCTCATTTTAACTAAAACCCCCTCCAAAGTGAACATGGGATGTAAGTTACTTGGCTCCCCTCATATAAATGAACAGCCTTTTCTCCAAACCTGCTAAATATGAACACAGGCCCTGTAAGGCAGAAAACTCAACCTGCTGTCTTTGAAGAGAGCACCTTAGGTCCAGCTGAAGACTGTCTCTTCCTGGTTTGTAAACTGACGTCGCCACTAGTATTAGCCATCCTGGTGGTTTTCTGGACGACACAGGGAAAGACACAGCTTCACACTGCCAATCTGGGACTAAAGAGATTTTTTTTCACCCCAGGATATGCTCCATAATAAGATACGAGATGGATAAGAAGCGGCTTTTTTTTTTTTTTTTTGTAAATTGGGGATGGGTTATTGGGAAGGTGCTGCATTGTCCCAGAAGTTTCAGTAGAAAACTTAGGAGCCAGGTGCAGTGGTTCATGCCTGTAATCCCAGCATTTTGAAAGGTCAAGGCAAGAGTATTGCTTGAGGCCAGGAGTTCAAGACCAGCCTGGGCAACTTACCAAGACCCTGTCTCTAGAAAAATATTTTTATAAAATAGAAGAAAACTTAGGAACATTGAGGCATTGGAAATTGTCCCCCTTGGATCCACCCTTGCCGGCATTCTTCTGGGGAAATCTGTATGCAACTGCCATTTAAACATCCCTGCCCTATAACCCTGTGGCGCTGGATCTCCTCCCAGCACTAGGGCTATCTCACCCCCTCCCCACACTGTAGTTAAAGGATTGAACCCACTGTGTTCCTAGCTGTGTGTCTCTCTGACCCCTTTGATGATATTGTAAGCTCCCAAATCAAGCAGGAGCTTAGCTTTGGGAGTTACATTTCTGTCTGTCTGTCCGTCTCTCCCTCTCTCTCTCTCTCTCTCTCTCTCTCTCTCTCTCTCTCTCTCCACACACACACACACACACACACACACACTATATATATATATAGTGTGTGTGTGATATAGTGTGTGTGTGTATGTATATGGCCTCTGCCTCTACACTGCTCCATAAATACTTGTGAAAGTCAAGCTTGTGATTTTCCTTGGCCCGCTGGAGGATCCTCACCATGAAAGAACCTCAGCCCAGCCTGAGCCTGGAGATGGAGTCAGTGACATGTAACTTACAAAGACTAAACAAGCAAGTGACTTCTGTGTTTTTTGGGGCTGCTGGGAGAGCCCTGCTGGCACGTCCCCAAATCTCAGTACACTTCCCTCCTCATAGCAAACTCACTGATAGCTAGAATCCTTTTAGGCTGCCAGTGCACCTGGGAAGGACACACACTTAGCACAGTCAGTCTTGCAGACCTTGACATGCATGGGGTTGGCTCCCTTTCAGGACATTTAGATGAGGTACCCTGGGTACTCATTTCTTGGATACTGCCAAGGAGTG